TCATACACTATCGACTAACTGTAGGGAAGGCCAAGTTTTAAATCGGAATATTCAACGATAATTAATATCCTACTGCCGTGTTTGTTGGAAGATTATTATGTGACTTTGTCGCTAGACCTATAGGTGAAATTTAGGAGAAAGTTTACTGAAATAATTTTTTTTGAAGCAAGAATAGATTTTCATTTAGTTTGGAAAATAAATTTTTAATTTCACATCTGGTTTAGAATTTAAATATGAAAGTAACAAATAGAAAGGATTTGGGGTATATAAAATAATTAATCCCCATGGCTAGGACAAAAATTAATTACCTTCTGCTCTAAATAATTTTTTGTGAAGGATTCTCCGTCGGAAAATAACACTAAAATTATTGTGGTCGTGAAAATTAGCCCAGTATTTAACCACAAATATACTTTTAATAATGTTTTTGTGTTCCTTAGCGGAGGGTAGATGGAATCACAATGCATGGTAAAATATGACAAAGCATTGCTAATAAGTGATACAAAATGTATTTTTCTTTATGTAAAATAACGCCTCGTTAATTGTGGTCCTGAATAGTAGCCCAGTATTTAACCACAAATAAACTTTTTCAAAAAAAAATTATACTCACTAATGTTCTTGAACTGCAAACACACAGAAGTAATTGTCTACAGCACCTTTGGTGACTAAAATCTGAAGTATTCAATGTATCCATCCCTTTCAGCATCTGCACCATCACTAAAACAGAAAAAAAACAATTTAAAAATTTCTATTAAACTAAATTAATTTTCTACGTAAAATTTTCGACTTGTTTCTTATTTCCAAAAAAGAGAAAAATTACGAAAGGCAAAAAGCGAGGCAAAAAGTAACAGAAAGTCAAGACTGATGTAAATTTTCAAAAAAAAAACAATGAGCAGACGTTGCTTTTCATTGGTAGGTTAAGTCTGTTATCAATCAAACTTGGCAATGGAGGGATGAAAAATTTTGCCCATGCAGCACGTGTCAGTGGCGTAGTGTAGTTAATGGCTTCTATTATGAGCACACGCGAGCTTTGGCGTTTGAAAGAGATAGGAGGTGTGAGAAGCCTCGTTCGTAAAGGGGTCGGGGCAGGAGAAATGAGAAGAGAGAGGAGAAAAAGGGGAGACGGGATGAAATAGGTCGCTGCGGCCGATAGATAACCAATTTGTCTGTTAATCTTCACCCATTCCAAAAACCATTCTCAATTCTCCATCTTTTCTCAAAACAAATTTTACTCACGCATTTACACAAAAAAAAATTTTTCTCCAATGAGAAAAAAATGGATTTCTCCGACACTTTTTGTGAGGGTTCCTTTTAGAAAAGTCAAAAAAAAAAGAAATTCACGTTTGGGACACACTCTTGGAGATTTCGCACTCATCTACAAAAACCTACTATTCACTACCTTTTTTACGTTATGTTTTTGGATACTCTCTCTGAATTTGTAGAATCCATTTATTCTTGCTGTTTGGTTGTCCTTTAGTAAAAAGTATCGCCACTACGACAAGGTCTACCGAACATATCCATAACATCCACGATGTTTATCAGTGTTAATGGTATCTATCAGCAGATTAACCATAACAGTTTAAAAAAATAAGCTAACCAAAAGGAAAAATTCAACATGAGACTTATTTCTGAATTATGCACAAGAATTCTCCAGAAAGTTTGGACTTTTGTGAATATTATTTCTTGTCATGGTTAATTTCCATAAATTATCGACCTTTTGGGAGGAAAAGAATGAGAATAGTTTCTTGTAGTTTATTCCTCTCGGGTTTCGACCTTAGACACCACTGGCAACTGGGGAGCAGTTCGTATATATATATATTGCAAAAACGGGCAATCTTCCTTGCTTTTCGCCGCAAGCATCTCTCCCCTTTCCCTCCTTCCATTCTTCAACCCTCCTCGTCGCTCCTCTTCCCCGCAAACTAGTTAAATCATCCTGCCGCGGGCCGACCCCCAGATACTGAATTCAGATCACGTACAGGGAATTTATTTGAAGCGCGTATGCGCCATGAAGCAAGTTTGCGCCCGTCAGAGTTTTTCCTAACCAAGTCCGTGGGTGTGATATGCGCCCACTGACCTCCCCCAACTCCAATTCCCTTATTCCTCCACACCCTCGATCAGTTTTACTTTCAAAAAAGTTTCCTTCGCGAGAAAATAAAACAAAAAAAAAAACCCTGCGCTGAATTCGACTCTATACGCGCAAACTTATATAAAAGATTACAACAAATTCCTGATGAGTGATTTTATTTATTTTCGTAGAAAATAAAAATTTTCCACTTGGATATTTTTCCCAATATTTTATTTAATATCATTCAATTTTCTCATTTTCCAAAGCTTTTCTTGTCCTGTTTCTTTCATTATTTTTCCAAACCAAAAACCACAATGTTTCTTGGTCGATTAAGAAAAATCGATCAATAAAGAATTACAGTCCCCCTGTAAGTAGTTTCCTTTCTCCTTCTCATTTTTTTTTGTAGAAAATGGAAGAGGTGGATTTTTTTCCGAGTGGAAAAGAAGCTTTGTTTCTATCCCTTTAACACTGAGTCTACCAGTGTGGTTTTATTTTTACATTGGCTTTGAATCCTTTTTCAAAATCCTCTTAACATCTCCCTCCATTTTAGTTCTTCAATTCACTGCAACATATAGTTACTTCAACTGTATTTAAAAAAAGGAGAAAAAAACTCATTTGCTCAAATCCAGTAATCCTATAATGACCCATTTGTTACATCTGAATTAAAAAATAGAAATTCTATGCTTTTTCATTTTGTTAAATATTCCGAAGTATAAATCTTTAATTTTGCAAAATTTCATGAAGCGTTGGTTTTAGTTTATCAACTGATCAATAAATTCGATAAAATATTTCGTACCTATCCCTTTGTAAAATCGGATTTCAATTTGGGTAAAAGCGCTCTGCAGAAGTTTGTTTATATTTACAAAACATATACGCACATATATATATATATATATATATATATATTCATATATATATATGGTGCTAGAGGGTGGGGGAGAAGTTAATCAACATGAAATTCAACTCGTTACATTATTACCAAAATTGTAAATACTGGTATTGAAATTATTTTTAATAAATACAATTTCGTATACGTTTCTCATTAATTACTTGCTTTGATATTAATAATTAATGTACGAGAGTTTTGTTTTTCTAAAGAAAATTGTGTTAAATGACAGTATTATAAATAATAATTCTTCACTAGTTTTTAAAAGTGTTGGTTGTAGGTCTATAGAGGATTAAGAAAAATTCCGCGGTTCGCAATAAAATTCGTGAGTTGAATATAAAGTAGACTTTTGAGACGCCTATCGCGTCACGTAACGTCTACGCTTAAACGTCTTATTCTAGAAACGTCCGTGCCTTGGATTCAAGTTAAACACCGTTCTCGAAGCTCTCTCGTTAGTCGTCAATCCGCACGGAACACGCCTTGTTTGCTCTAAGCCTTCACAGGACTCGATTTACTTCAAACGTTTATCCCTCCCAATTATAAAATCAAAATTGAAAAACTAAAGGTAAAGAAAATTTTTTCACTTTATTAACACATAGTTAAAATTGTTGTTGTCAATATTTTGATTTATAAAATTGAATAAATTGACGCGTTTTTATCGTCTTTTGCGAAATGTTTTAACTAATAGACTCAATAAAATATAGAAATATTTTTACCAAGAAAAAACAGTTTTTCATTTATGAAAATAATTACCTTTAGTGTTTGTTAGGTCTTCAATCGATAGACGTCAACCACAGGTGTAGCTGACGATTACTACTGATTTGAGTCACCACAGGTACAGTAGACAATTACTACTGTGTTTGCAGTTCAAGAACATTCTTGAGGATGTTTTCTTTAAAAAAATTTATTTGTGGTTAAATACTGGGCTAATTTTCAGGACCACAATTAACGAGGCGTTATTTTACGTAAAGAAAAATATAATTTGTATTACTTATTAGCAATGCTTTTCCATACTTTATCATATTTTAACATGCATTGTGATTTCATCTTCCCTCCGCTAAGGAACTCAAGAACATTCTTAAAAATTTATTTGTGGTTAAATACTGGGCTAATTTTCAGGACCACAATAATTTTAGTGTTATTTTTCATAGGAGAATCCCTCACAAAAAATTATTTACAGCAGAAGGTAATTCATTCTTGTTCTAGCCATCAGTCTGCATTGTGGCTCCATCTCCCCTTCACTAGATAACTTAAATACTTTCCAAAATTGTTATGCTTGTTTTCTTCCCCCTAACGGTAATTATCAAAAAGTAATTTTAATCATGTCCTTAAACTTTTTTGTTCTAAAATTTTCTATTAAATATTTCTTTTACTGCTTTTTCACTATCCCTTCAAAAAAAAGTTGATTCTTATTAATCTTCCTTCACTTTCAAAATCAATATACTTCCGTACAAAATATAAAGTTGAATTTAATATAGAAAAAAAAAGAATATTTTACGCCCGAGTGAAAATCATGAAGAGCGACTATATTTGGAAATCAGCGATCCGTGAGACGAGCCAAAGTCGCCCTTCTGTAACCGTGTCCCTCCCTACCCCTTCAACGCCCCCAAACCATTGCCATTACATTTTGTTACCTCGGCTTACTTCCAGAGCAGGGTATTCTATAAATTTATGAAAATCCAGACAACGTGCGCGCCAGCGCTCTTTCGCGTTTTTAACTTTCGTTGAGCTTTTTGGGAAAAGCTTTTATCCCATATAACAGCCATTGCGCGGCTCGCAATTCTGATTAATCGTAGAACTATCGTATCAGCATTTTTCCCTCGATTAAGTCTCGGAGGTTTTCGATAGCACACAAGGCGAATCAACCAGAAAGAGAAAATAGGAGCACTCAATACCAGAATCGAAAAAAAATTTTATTTTGAAAATGGTGTAATTCCTTTCAAAATAGAAAATTTTATTTTTTAGTAACTACAGTTAAATATATTGTTAGTTATATATTGAAAAGTGTAATCTTTTAATTAATTCTAATGTGGAAAATTTTTTCTGTTACAGGTATGCAGTGATCTTCGGTGTTTCATTATTGCGATAGAAAATGCTGTCGGTATGTCTAACGCTTACAAATACTCCAAGTAGACAAAATCCCTCATTAGCTTTATATAAATATAAATTCTTAATCGAAAAAAAGGTATTTTCTTTTAACAAATTTTACAATAATAAACTTTTTTTTATGTCATTAGACATTGAGCTAATTTTAATTTCTTGTGAGTGAGAGATTTCTTTTTTAGACTCTTATACCCGTTAATAGAATTCGAAGTATTTCCCCTTGCAATTTGAACTCGAGCTCTCGTAGCTCCTCTGCACTTCCTTTCAATCTTTTCCAAGATTCGACACTCTCTCTCTCTCTCTCTCGTTCCTTCCTTCACTTAGATTCTACACAAATTTTCCCAAACATTTCAAGCTCATTCTCGTCAAATATTCGTCTCGACTGGTGGAAAACATCCACTCGTACAATGAAAATTTAAGCAAGATAAGATGAAGATTTTCTTACTGCAGTTAAGATTATCTCCTTTCTAAAAGCATAGTTTTTTTCTTACGTGTGGAAATGGTAAATTCTAGCTAACTATGGCCAAAGACTAGCCAAAGTAAACAAACTCTAAGCCATACTTTAAAACATTCACCAACAACTAAATCAAATTTTTTGTTGCACAATGAAATAGCTCTGACAAAAAAATTCCATTGGGGACAGAATTATGCTTTTTTAAAATTCTTTTAAACATTCAGTTTCCAGATCATCCATGACAATATCTGAGACGAAAACAGAGATTGGAGAACCCATCGGTATACCGTAAACTTGTCTGTGGAATTTTCCATCGAACGAAAAATAAGTGTTGTTAAATACAAATTCAGTAAAAGCAATAACATCAGAGAGGGATTACACATATTGACCATAGTCGAAATATAGAAATTTGCATAGTTTTCCCATTGGCCAGCCGGGAGTTTATTACCCTAATTATCGTAATAAGTTGAAATCCTTTGAATGTTTCATCCTTTTCTCTTATTTGGTTGGAAAAAAATTGCACTAGAAGATTTTATATATATTTCGAGGTAGGGTAACAATTGACTCGGGGAGTTTTGTACAAGCCTCTTTTATGACGCTTTTATTTACGCTAGATCCGTAAGAAATATTACATTTTCCAAGTAAACTCGTCTTAGTCTCCAGTTTTCCCTTACAGTGCGCTCTTTTACTTTGGTTCTTCTTATCCATGAACCTTCTCTCTTCTCGATCCTCGCCCACCCCAACCCAGTGTGCTACTTTTCTTTCCCTCATACACTTCTACATTTTAGCGTCTCTTCTTTTGCTGAGAAAAATAGAAGAGGAAGAGAAACTGCTCTCCATTACCATTTATAGTGATTCCTGAACCATCTCGCTTAGAAGGACCAACACATCTAACCGCGCGTCTTGTAGAATCAGCAGCGCGTCTACTTTCTTCGCTGCGTCTGATTTATCGGTCTTTGTCATCCAACGATGCATCTTCACGATTCCCTTTCAAAAGAGAATTTTCCTACTTTCTTTTTTTTTCTTATCCCCTTCGCTCACTTTTTCAAATGCAATGTGCACCCCCTGAATTTTTGTTATTACAGGTGGTATGCTGTGTATTTCTTTTCGATTGGTTTTTCCCGACCAAGTGTTGACACAGAAGATCTTCAAAAATCTCATAACTGAAGCTATCGGGATGACAAAAAAAAATTTATTTGTGGTTAAATACTGGGCTAACTATCCAAACAACTTTAATTTTATTCCACAAGAATAAAATTTTTATACCTAAAAATTGATTTCCAATAAAGTAAATTAAAAGCAAACTTTGTTTTCCCAAAGGAAGGGAAAAAAAATTGTCTGCGAGTTTGAGTCATCACAACCTGGCACACATACAATTTTTGTCTTCCTAAAAAAACAAGTTGGACAAATTTCAATCCTCTTTCCCGTCGCATACATATTGATGACGAATGTTTTCCTAACTAAATCATCGGAAGCGGAAACCGCAAAAATACATAACAAAAATTCAATATATATATAAATTTTTATGAGTGAAGACGTCTCGTGAAATCGAAGCACACAGCAAAAGCAAATGGTAAAGAAATAAACTTTGGCTAACTGCCAAAAAGAGTCTTATGTCTTTCACACCGAAAGTTAATTTGCGTAATGGCGTGTATTTAAAATCTCTCGCGTTCTAAATGACATCGATTCATGTAAAAAAAATTCTTTCCCCCCTCGAACTATAACTTTCGAAAGGTCATTAACCTCTCCCTTCACCAGGATTGTCATCGACGGATTCGTTTTAAAACGGAGGTATAAAAAAAATTCAATTTCTTGTAACGAGCGATTGAAAAGAAGACTTTCAAGAGAAACTGAGGAATGAAATATAGAAAGGAGTGGCACGGATAATAGAGAATAGGGTAAAGAGAGGGGAGTGGATCATAAAAAGAAAGAACAATAAAAAATAAAACTGAATATCAATCAGCTTTGATCCCTTTTGTCAAATCGAATTATTTTTTTTATCAATAAATTTTCCTACTTTTTCTTTTTATTATCGTTACTCGAAATATTATTTGAAAAATTTTTTTCATTATATTTTTAAAAATTGATGAACGTAAATTTTTTATGATAGTAGGTAATATTTATGTTTCGATTAATAATTTTCTTTTAGTGTATAATAGAAGTTAATTATTTTCTAACACTATTTTTGTTGACCCACAATTTCAAGGGGTAATTTTATTGCAAATTATGTGCGGGTAGAGTCTACCCCATCTGCTTCCTGAAATAAATTGCCAAAACCCAGTTCCTATTTATTTTACACTCAGTTTACTTCGTAAACCATGTTAAATTACATTACTCATTATTTAATCTCCGTTTCTCTCCCTCATTCTTTCTGGGGAACCCTTTTTCGCTTAGTTTAAAGCGCAATGTCTAATTGTTATCGTTCACCCCGTTCACTTGCACCCTCTAATTTTCTTTCTAGAATAATCATTTAACACTGAATTTTAATCTCAAAAGTTCCCCTTTATGTCTATTTGATATAGAACACCCTAGATTCATCATGTAACTTGGAGGATCGGTACAATTTTTCAACAAAATTTTTTTTATTCGTAGTTAAAAAATTTATATTTAGTAAATGATTAATTATCTAAGTTAACCAATTTAAATTATTTCATAGACCATTCCAAAGGTTGGTGGCTAATTAGCATTGTGGTTCCATCTACCGTCCAGGGAGGAATTTAGGAATTCAATATTCTTAAAGATTTTGCAGTTTGATACTGTTTTAATTTTCTAGATCTACTTTTCCACTAATGCATTAATTAATAGACTCGATATAAAAAATAGAAGTGTTTTTACATTAGGTGATGCTTTTTATTTTCGAAAATAGTAACAATTAGTATTTGTTACGTCTTCCATCGGTAAATATCACTTAAGCTGCAGTAGACAGCTTCTGATTTTATCACTCAATGGCAAATTGGTGTTTGCAGTTCCATGGTCGTCAGTCGTCATTGTGGTTCCATCTATCCACCAATAAGGAACTCAAGAACATTCTGGAGAATGTTTTTTTGGAAAAATGTATTTGTGGTTGAATACTGGGCTAATTTTCAAGACCACAATTAACGAAGCGCTATTTAACATGAAAAAAAAAATGTTGTATTACCCATTAGAAATACTTTTCTATACTTTGTCATATTTTGCCATGGTTAAAGAATGTCGCCAACAAAAATTAATTTTTCATTAAATTAACTTATATAGACACAAAATCTTTCAATTTTCCCTATTTTTAAACCCTGGTCAAGGTATGGCAAAGCATGGGGAGAAGAAAAAAAAGATTTATATTTTTAAAATTTATTGTGGAATTTTTAAACTGTGGGCAAACTATAAAAAACCGTGGTTAGGGGACTCAAGAACATTCTTAAAGTTTTGTGGTTGAATACTGGGCTAATTTTCCAGACCACAATAATCATGGCATTGTCCCGCAAAAGTAATTAAGAATTGTGGTTCCTGGCGTATATATTCAGTTGTAATTTTCAAATAATGGTCAAAAGACAAAATGCTTCGTCTTATGATTGTAAATCAGTCTAAAATAATTCTAGGGAATAGAATTTATGTTAAATTTTTTTTCAGTAAGAAAATTTATATTTCAAAATAAACGTATAATTTAAGTTAGTTCATGTGGGACTTGTGCGACTGTAGAGACCACATTTGTCACCTTAGAGCGTATCCTTCACCCCAGACATTTTCACCTGGGAATATTTACCTCTATGGCAAATTACCGACGTCCGTCGTTGTCTCTGTATCGCTTAGGGCAGGTTCAAAACTTTGCAAAACTTCTGTCCACTCTCTATATATAGATCATTGTTTGATTCCCCTCAGGAAAATGAACATCTATTTTCTCCTATGTACGTTTACTTTAATTTTTTTTTTTTGGTAAAAACTTTTATTATATATTCTATTTTTCCATTATTATCCAAAATAAAAATTATAAAATATTTTACTATATTTCATTCGATTGAAACAAATTAGAAATGACATTTAAAATTAAATATAAAATAAAAACAGACAATAAAAGAAGTCTTTTTTTAAAAAAAAAGTAATTATACTAGTACAAGGACATGAATATTTTTCATAGAAATAAAGTCGGTTAACGTGAGTCAAGAGAGATAATAGAGAAAAGATAACTAAACGACAAAGAAAAATTAATTAAAAACAAGTTGGAAAAATTACATAATTTCCGTGCAGAAAAAAAGAAGACGATGAAGAAGAAGAACGTGGAAGAGTGAGTTAATTAAACTAAAAAGCCTCGAGCACTAGTTGAAAAATAGCGAGCAAATGAAAAACATTTATTTTTTCAACATTTGTTGGATATTTTAATTTTTGTAAAAATTGCGCTCTTTGTAACGTAGGAAGAGAGAAAAAAAAAATGGAAAAACGAAAAGGGTAGGTATTGATAATGGCGTACAGGTCAAGGTCTCTGGCTCGTTGAGATGCGGTTTTTTTTTTATTTTTACTTTACCGTTTTTCTTGTATTTTTTTCCACCGTCCTTCTTCTGTCTCTTTTTTTC